GAGATATACCTCATGTAAATGACCAGTTAACAGGTGCAGCACACCAACATGGCACATGTATACATATGCATGTTGTGTACTTGTACCCTAGAATTTAAAGTATTAAAAAAAAAAGAAAGAAATAGAGGGTCAACTGTACGATTTTATCTGTCAATTATACCTCAGTAAAGCTGGGGGTGGGAGTCCAGGAATAAATAGATAAACAGATAAATAGTTTGAGTATCTTCTTTGTGGCAGGGGTCAGGGGCTGGGGAGAGGTGGAGATAGGGCAGAGAGCTTTCCCTTCTTTTCCATTTCAATTTCTCCTAGCCTAGAATCTTCTTTTCTTTTAGTATTAATAGAAAGTTCTAATTTTTAATGAGGGCCATCCGTGGTGCCTAGAGATAAAGTAGCCATGGTCATTCAAGAGTGATTTGTCTCCTTGTCCTCCAGAAAACAATCAAAGGCTTGAGATCAACCCCATGGGCCTATATCTACCCAATCAGAACAGTGAATTATCACAGAACCACAGCTCTATGAATGCTTTACCTGGATTTTTTTTTTTTCCAGAAGGAACATGTTTCTCATGCAGCAATCTTAATAAATGCAAGTGGGCTCCATTTCTTGGCTTTGAGGTAATGAAAAACTAATTACCACACTTTACAAGTAATAGTTTCCACTCACAGCACCCCTTTAGAAGTAAATATATCATAAATAGTTACTATTATACCAATGGCTGGTGGATTGGGCAGCCTGTCGTCCATAAATCTTTTTTCAACAGACATGTTATTTCTTCTGGGGGAACAAACAGATTTGTTTTAGATCAGAGAGTCAACTGACAGATGGCCTTTGTAAAAACACACCATTTGTATAAATAAATTATAGTTTCACGATGGTATTCTGCATTTGTGGATTTGGAAAATCAATGCCCCCATTCTCCAGACTGGGCCTAAACTGTAAAGAGCAATTTTGTTTAGGTGCGAGGTCACATTGCACAGATCTGCCAACACAGATGCTAAAGTCCAAACTCTCTGGATGCTTGCTGCCACTTCTCATCACAATTGTCACAAAGAACTCTGCCTGGAGGTAACAGGATGATCTCCCAGAGAGCTCCGTAATGGATCAGAGCAAGTTACCAACTGGCACACTCCCCTTAGCTCTGGGCTCTGTTTCTATTAAACGTAATGACACCACGTGCCTTATTTTCCTAACCACAACTTTGCATAATTGGGGCTGACAGTGTATTTGTCTTAAAAACCTGAAACACTTCATTTTCTTTTATAATACAGTTCGTCAGTTAAATGCTAAACATTCAGTAGATTCCTTTAAAATCCAAACCAGCCCTGACTCTGAGCACACTGAAATCTCAGTCATTACTCATCTTACAAGGTATACACATGTAACATATGCATCAAATATTTCTTGATTCATATATAAATGTATATATCTAAATACGCATCTATACACACACATACCTACTCATGCAAATCCCCTTTCCCAGAACCAAAGGGTCAGAATTTAGTATCAAAAAAGACACAGTTTGTTACTGTTTTTAAGAACCAGGACTAGTAAAATGTTTCTTTTGTTAGGAGACCAAGACATTCATTTTAGCCAGAAATTCTAAGTACAGTCTTTGTTGGCCTAATGATTGCCTGTGTGTCCTTTTTTTAAGGACATTATTCCCCCTCCACCCATGATTAAGATCCTAAAGTCATCAGTCATGATCAAGGAAATAAAAGTTTAACATCAATCATGTTCACTATTCAAAATATAACAACAGGAAAGACTTTGTAAGTTTCCAGCTTAAAAAAAAAATTTGTGTGTCAAATTGCCTAGTATTTTCCTAGCTATAAGGTACTTTTGGAAGCTGTGTTTATTCTTTCACATGGGGGATACTGTTAGCCTGGTGCTTTGTCTGCATTCATAACCTCAAGCTCCCACGTTGCTATTTAGAGTTATACCAGTTGGTGCCTTGATAAAATTAATACAGTGTCTAGAGTTCCTAACTTACATCCATAGAAGTGCATAAACCAGTGATTTCCATCTGTTTCTATGACACTCCCAGGGAATCTCAGGTTACTTCAAAGGAGATCAGAAATTCCCAAATAAAATTAATTTAGATCCACAAATCTTACATATATAGTTAACATATGCCAGATATAAATATATACCTACATGCACATAGTACTTCGGGAAGAGGCAATGTCAGGACATTACTAAGGTAATTGCATACTAAGATCCTAGAAGGGTAAAATGATCACAAATTATAATATGTATCGTAAACTAGATTAGAACTAATCATGGAAAATAAAAGTCCACTCAATTTACACAAAATCACAAATTTGGATCATGAAAAAGAAAAAGGGTTTGGGGGGTAAATCAACAAAGTTATTTTTGAAGTAGATGATTTTGTGGATGAATTACTAGCAACCCAATAGGACACAAATCTGGTTGGACGACTGATTCATTTGATTCTCTTTTTTATCTCTAAATTATGTTACATGCCTGTCTGTAAATGGAGAAGCTCTTCATCCTGCATCTCAATAAAAGTATTAAAGACATCTCCGCTGTAATGGAGTCAACTCACAATCAATACCTGTATTCATCATATTATGCACACAGACAGGTCAAGGGTTAAGAAAATGTTTTCAGTGCAACTGTAATCAACTGACCCTCCTGTAATTAGGCTGTTTGCTGACTCCTTGGGGACATTTATTGGGAGGGGTCCAAGGACCCCTCTCAGACTCAAATCATGTGACCGAGTGCAAAATTCCTTTGCTTAAAACACACACTTCTCCACCTTTAATCACACTCCACGCGGTGATTAACAGCGTGGATCTGCCACTTCCTAACTCTATAACTGTAGGAAAGTTTCTCATCCACTCCCTGCCTCAGTTTGTCTGTAAAAAGGAGAAAACAGTGCTTGCCTCATACAAGTGTTGAAAGGATGAAATAAGTTAGTAAGGATAAAGTGCTTAGTACGGTGCACACAGTAAACATTCAATAAGTGTAAGCTCTTATCATTCTTTATTATTCAACTTGTCAGAGGTTCCCCGAGCTAGAGGCCACTGCAGAACTCTAGATCACTCATCAATTTATGATCATGTTGACTTTTTAAAATGTATTTTAATTTTATATAATATTACATGATACTGTCTCAGTGTTAACTTTTTATGTGTTAAATGCTCAGTATTCAACATACATAATTCAACTAGACCTGCAGATTAAGTGGCATATTTGTTGCCTATACATCCTGAAAAGTTTGGAATTGGTGGAAATTGCATTGACTGGGTATCTGGACATGCACTGGAGGATCTCCCACTAATGTCCTGTGAGGCCGTGGCTGAGTCATTTCACCCATCCAAATACCAGATTTCTTCCTATAACAAAGGTTTGGACTAGGTGAACTCTAAGAATGCTTTTATCCTAAGAACCAGAGCATTATGAAGCTGACATCCTCCTTGATTTTCTGAGTTGCGACAGCATCATCTGTCTGAAGAAACCAACCAGTATGAAATGGGAGAATCCTAACCAGTAAATTTCCTAGATCCAGCCTCTCTCAGGATAGCACATAACAAAATGCTAGGATGAACTATTATATAAAATTCACATAAAAATGACCACATATGCCACTTTTATTGGGAAATTACAGGCTGAATGTGAATCTAATATCTACTGATGAATTATTCAACTATATTTCAGTCAGCCTGGCTGACTGAATGACAGAGTATGAGTATTTTTCAAGCACTCATAGAAAACTCCTGAACTCTTTTGAATGTTGGCCTGAAGGTTATTTCTGGTGAAGAATGGACACCTGAATGTATAAGAAGAGACACCCTTTCTCTAGGAATCGGAAAGGACATCATTATGGGATGCCCCAGGGGTTCATGTGAAACCCTTTAAATATACATCTTGGGGAAAGAAGACTTTATCCTGACTGGATAGCCTAACCTGGAAAATACCTTCCAAGACAGAGAACAGTGAGGTCATACGCAGAGGACGTGAAAGGCTTAGGAAAAGAGTAAAGGAAGCCCCAAGAAATGGAAACTGTTGAGTCCAGGGGAGTTTGAGAAGCCATAGGAGACTGAAATAGAGATTTATTCATATGTTGATGATATATGCATGATTTGGAGGAAGTCAGAGAGAAAGATGACTGATTTCTCAGCAAACACACTTTAAAATGCACATGTTCTAAACCTAACTTGCTATCTATAAATGCCAGCCATAGCCATGATTAACTAGTAGAGACGCAGAGGGTGGTAGGCATGGGTTCTTCCCACTCAGACACTGGGAGGCTTTCAGTCACTCCAAAATCCCCACTGCCTAAATAGTTACAAGTTTGTAGCAGCAAATATACACAATATTACCAAATGTAACAGCTTTAAAAATCATCCATTTGGCCAAGGCTGGAGAATTCTGTTTGCACCGGTTTCTCTTTTTGGAAGAGATCAAAATGTTGCCTCTCACAGTCCTTTGACTGAAGGAGAAATCAGAGGAAACCTGGATGGTCCACAGCAAGTTAGCATTTCCCACTGAAATAAACACATTCCTTTGACTCCCCTCCAGCCATGGAGCCCTGGCCAACATTTCACAATACAAAGCCGAGACTGACTTCCAGTAGGAACACAGCAACTGCTAATCCCCATTATCACACCCGACAGTGTCCACCACACCCCCATAAAGATGCATTTTCTAGTAACTAATAAAAACTGGTCCTGAAGACAATAGCCTCGCGCTCATCCAAATACCCGTTGGGATATTACAAATTAACACCTTGTAAAGCAACCCAATTAAAAAGTATGCCCATACACACAGTCTCATCCACCAAAACATACATCTGCCTTTCCAAATATTATGCAACGCTGGATTCTAAATCGGTCTTAATTTCTAAAAAGCCTACAGGCACGGATATAAATTCTCAGTTCTTATGGCTGTGGCCGCCCTATGCACTCTTCCCAGTGGTGGACACAAACGTTAATGTACTTATTATTACTTAAGGACACAAAAATAAAGAAGGTGGCATTTTTCTCTTTCCCCTTCTAAGGTTCTCTCCAGAGCTGCCAGATGAACGCCCACGCCACCTTCTCCCACCAAAGGTGGATCCGGCTAACAGGAGACTGGATCGTGACCATCGCGCGTCTGTGCCCAGCTCTGGGGAAAGCATCATCTTAGCGAGTGGCCCTCGGCTAGTCCCGCAGATCGGCCAAGTACGCTGAGGCCGCGCGGTTTCACCATTAATGTTGCTGAAGGACAATAGCTCATCAAGCCCCACCGAAAGCCCCGGACCCGTCGCGGAGCCTGGGCTGGCGGGGGATGAGGCTGAGCGACTCCTCCTAGAGGTGGTTATGTGGAGAAGGAGCAATCCCTTCTCCCTCCTCCTCCTCCCCCCGCTACTATCCGCGGCCCAGAGAACTGCCGCTTGCCGCCATTGACACGCACAGATAGAACCCAAAGAAAGGCAAAGAGTCCTGCCCGGCACCGGCGCCGCGCGGGCCGAACCTGCGCCCAGGGAGGGGCGCGCAGAGGGCACCGGGCGCCCTGAGCAGGCGGCGCAGCACCAGGTGAGCCCGCCATGGCGATGGCATTATTGTTTAGGGTGCTCCGGGGTCTGGAAACAAAACGCGCCGCCAGGGCAGTGCAGGGGCCGGAGAGAACCACCTCTGCCTCTCCCCTGAGCCCCTGCGGGCGCACCCCCGATAGCCAACCCACCCCCTGCAAAAACAAATTCTTAAATCCAGCCGCCCAACTTGCTTCCTTGGGCGATAAAGAGAGGGCTACTAAAGAAGTGGTCAAATTCCTGCGGCCAACGAGGGGCCGGGGGCGTCGAGGGTAATGAGAGAAGGAGGAGGGATGCGGGGTTCAGCAGCGGGCCCCAGGCGAGGCTGGACCCGGAGGAAGCGGAGGGCTCCTGGGAATGCGGAGTTTCAGGCGCAGAAGCGGGAGGAGGGTGGCGCCTGGCCGCCGAGGGGCAC